CCTCCGAGATGGTTTGTGGACGCGCATTCACGCGACTGAGCTCGTCCCCGGCGACATCATTTCTATTGCGGTCGGAGACAAGATACCTGCGGACTGCCGGCTGCTCTCTGTAGCATCCACGAGCCTGCGCGTCGACCAGGCCATCCTCACGGGAGAGAGCACTAGCGTTGGCAAGTTTCTGGACGCGGTCTCGGACCCCAAGGCGGTTAAGCAGGACATGACAAACATGCTCTTCTCCGTAAGTAGCCGGTTACATGCTGTGCAAAAATGTCCCGCGTCTGATGTCCCAATAGGGCACTACAGTCGTCAATGGCAAGGGCACGGCTATCGTGGTATTCACTGGCGAGAAGACTGCTATTGGTGACATCCACAAGTCCATCACTTCGCAGATCAGCGAGAAGACGCCGTTAAAGCGCAAGCTCGACGACTTTGGTGACATGCTCGCGAAGGTTATCACCGTTATCTGCGTTCTTGTCTGGCTCGTCAACATTCGTCACTTCTGGGACCCAGCGCACCATGGTGCCCTCAAGGGTGCCGTGTACTACTTCAAGATCGCCGTCGCTCTGGCTGTTGCTGCTATTCCCGAGGGTCTCGCTGCTGTCATCACCGCTTGCCTTGCTCTCGGTACGAAGAAGATGGCTCAGAAGAACGCTATTGTTCGCAACCTGCCCAGTGTGGAGACTCTAGGTTGCACGAACGTCATCTGCTCAGACAAGACCGGTACGTTGACCACTAACCAGATGAGCGTGTCGAAGGTGCGTACTTACTCTGTTCTCTCTCGAACTCCACATCGACATCATGCCTGCAGTTCTCTGTGGTGGACATCTCCGGCACGCCTCGGGAGTTCCTCGTCGAGGGCACTACCTTCGCTCCAGAAGGGTCGGTTACCCCTGCTGATGACAAGTCATCCGCTGAAGTCCGTTCAGAGCCCTTGCTCCGCCTGGCTGAGATCAGCGCCATTTGTAACGACTCGAAGATCATCTACCATGCGGTGAGTTCAGGTGGTCTTATACTCCCTCTCTTGTATTGATCCGCCTGCAGGACAAGAACACCTACACAAATCTCGGCGAGCCTACCGAAGCCGCCCTGAAGGTCCTTGCGGAAAAGCTGCCTTGCCCCGACCCCGAGCTCGCGAAAAATCTGCCATACCTCTCTCCCTCCGTTCGCGCGAACGCTGTCAACGAGTACTACGAGCGCACGATTCCCCGCCTTTTGACCTTTGAGTTTTCCCGAGACCGTAAGATGATGTCCGTTCTCGCGCAGAAGAACGGCACCGGCATTCTGTACGCGAAGGGCGCCCCAGAGTCCATCCTCGAACGTTGCTCGTCCGTCCTCGTCAACGGCCGTGCCATCCCCCTCGTACCCCAGCTTCGTGACGCCCTCCTTCGCAGCACCATCGCCTACGGTAACCAGGGTCTCCGCACTCTTGCCCTCGCATACGCCGACAACCAGACCCTCGACCTCGCGAACTACAAGGCGGAGACGACTGCAGAATACTCTCGTTTCGAGAAGGACCTCACCTTTGTATCGCTCGTCGGCATGCTCGACCCGCCTCGCCCTGAGGTCCGTACGGCTGTCGCAAAGTGCCAGGCTGCAGGTATCCGCGTCATCTGTATCACCGGCGACAACAAGGGTACCGCAGAGACCATTTGCAGGCAGATTGGCATTTTCGGCGAACACGATGATCTCACGGGCAAGAGCTATACTGGTCGCGAACTCGATGAGCTCAGTCCTGACGAGAAGCTCAAGGCTGTCATGCGTGCCAGCCTTTTCAGCCGTACGGAGCCCACGCACAAGAGTCAGCTGGTCGACCTTCTCCAGAGCCAAGGTCTGGTGGTCGCGATGGTAAGCGTATATCTATCTACCCTTCAATCTTTTTGTTAAGTGATCAAACAGACCGGCGACGGAGTTAACGATGCACCCGCGCTCAAGAAGGCCGACATCGGTGTCGCAATGGGAAGTGGTACCGACGTCGCCAAACTGGCGGCTGACATGGTGCTCACGGACTCGAACTTCGCGACCATTGAGCAGGCTGTCGAGGAGGGTCGTCTGATCTACAACAACACCAAGCAATTCATCCGCTACCTCAGTACGTACTTTGTGATCATCTGTATATTCTTGCGATGCTGACCACATCAAACAGTCTCGTCGAACATCGGCGAGGTCGTCAGCATCTTCTTGACGGTGCTGCTTGGCATGCCCGAAGCGCTCATCCCGGTGCAACTGCTCTGGGTAAACTTGGTTACGGACAGCTTGCCCGCGACTGCTCTCGGGTTCAATCCACCAGACCACAGCATCATGCGTGTTCCTCCTCGGGACAGCCGTGAACCGATCGTTGGCAAGTGGCTCTTCTTCCGGTACATGGTCATCGGGACGTACGTTGGTGTTGCGACCGTCGCTGGATACGCGTGGTGGTTCATGTTCTACGCTGGTGGTCCTCAGATCTCTTTCTACCAGCTCGTACGTCCATCAGCACATTATCTTGTTCGTTGACTCACTCTCCACATACAGACCCACTTCCATCAGTGTTCGAGCCTGTTCTCGGACATCGGCTGCGAGATGTTCACCAATGAGATGTCACGACGTGCAACAACGATGTCCCTCTCCATCCTTGTCACCGTGGAGATGTTCAACGCAATGAACTCGCTCTCCGAGAACGAGAGCTTGCTCAAACTCCCTCTGTGGAAGAACCCCTTCCTTGTAGGCGCCATCGCACTCAGCATGGCGCTTCACGTTGCCATCTTGTATATCCCCTTCTTCACCGTGAGTCCATGTCCACTTGCGCTCTCCTTCGCGATTAGATTGCTAATTTATCCCGCGCAGACTCTCTTCGCCATCATGCCTCTTAACTGGACAGAGTGGCAAGCTGTACTATACCTCAGTGCGCCTGTGCTCCTCATTGATGAGGTGCTCAAACTCGTCACTGTGAGTGCCCCCATATCTTCTCTCTACGAGGCTCGCAGACTGAGACCTCATCGACAGGCGACATTTGTCTCCCCGCCATCAAAGATGAAGGTGGACTAGACATACCCTACTGACCCATATTTACATGATATAGGCATCTTTCGGGGACATTGTAATGACATGTAATGATTCCAGCGTAAGCGTAATACTAGAGTCTTTGAGCCTCTCCCGCTAGGCATCGCGCCGTATACTACTCAAGAAACAAGCTGCATAGGTGCCAATTTATTCGTACGTCGACTACATCCTACCTCGCAAAAGGATCGGAAACGTCGGGGCGTACACTGATGCGCGTTCCACAGGTTAAAGTACCCATACATAATGTACGGACTCGGGTCGGAAGACATTTGCTTGGGCTTGCCAATGTTGTGGCTCAACCCCCAGATTGCTAAGACAGCAAGGTACAGTCGGGGGAGCATATGAGACCCCACACCGGGTTGGCGGCCGGCTAATCGGGACCGAAGCACCCCACTTTGTGCGCTGCATACCATCGAGGCCTGGACCACGCCAAGGACCATGAAGTCTACTTACTGAACCATCTGCACTTTGTGGCCCTCTTCCGGAAAAGGAAAAAATATTAGTGTCAAATCTGGGGTACGCAAACTTCATAGCCGGCACAATGTTGGTGCGTCGTCCGTTCAGGCACGCCGGTCAATGAACACCGACGAGACAGATGCCGATGCCCCGCTATTCGTCGGTGAAACTTTGAAGTCTAACTGCAGGTAGCTCTACGAAGGGCACGGGGGAGGGCGCCATGCGCATATAAAAGGTCACTGTGTTCCCTTCCAGTTCCCCACGAGTCTCGTACTTCGCCCACCGTCGCTACACGCACTCAGTCTCTTCTCTGCTCGCTCGTACACCACCGGTCATTCCTCGTCATCCCACACAACTCTTGCCTTCACCATGTCTCGCTTCGCCGTCGTCGCATTCCTCTTCGCTCTCATCGTGGCCGTCATCGCCGCGCCTTCTGCTACTCCTGCGGGTATCGAGAAGCGGTCCCGCACCGGCCGTGTATGTCTCTCTGCCACTCGCCGTCTACATCATGGCTGATCATCTAATTCCTCCATCTAGGGCACTTGGTTCGAAGTCGGCCTCGGTGCCTGCGGAAAGACCAACAAGGACAGCGACAAGATCATTGCTATCTCCAGCAACATCTACCACGGCGGCAAGTACTGCGATAAGGTTAGCTTTTCTCTTGCTCGTCTTTCCTGATAAACGCTTACCGCTTTCTTGAGTAGAAGGTGAAGATCAAGAACACTGCGAACGGCAAGACCGCGACAGCCACCGTTCGTGACGAGTGCCCTAGCTGTGGCTCCAACGACATCGGTACGCAGCCGTCCCATTTTTTCGACTTGGACTATGCGGCTGACGTTCGTTATGCGCAGATATGAGCCCGTCTCTCTTCGAGGAGCTCGGGAGCCTCGATGAGGGTGTCCTCAAGGTCTCTTGGGACTTCAAATAGACGTCCCGATGAGAGCCTCACTCTTCCCCCCGACGGTCGCTTGCGATCCCGGGCGTCCATCCCCACCATCTACACACTCTTTTGCGTCCACGCACTCCCCGCCAGTAACCATGCTCCCTGGTCCCATAGTGGACCGGCAGTATGTGGGCCAAGCGCTCACTATTCCTTTTCAGATCGCCACCGGCTCATGGAATGAGTCTTCCCCTGTTGTCATATAGATGTATCATTGACAGCCACTACGAAAAGGGCCATCTCTCTGTAGCGTTAGCACACCATTGTACTCTGCTCTGCCACTCATGGTCCGTCCATTGCTCCTGCACCTGCCTGGCGTGGGTCAGTACTGTTACAACAATACGATCAACATGTTATACTTTGCGTTCTCGCTGTGTGAAAGATCGTTTTGTCATGATGGTCCACAAGGACGAATGACATGACTCGTAGACCAATTATTTTTTGGTGCTGACCGACTAGCACCAACATTGCCAAGGCGAACAAGTTTTTTCCGACCCTCAGCCATGTTTTGGTGTCATCCTGCCCCCATTGTCTCCGTATCATACTAAAGGAAGCGTAAGTCATCTGCCCCATGGCTGAGTTGGTTACAGCGTCCGACTGTTACAGTGCGAGAAACTGTGGAATCGGAAGGTCGTGAGTTCGAGCCTCACTGGGGCAGGTAATTTTGCTTTTCCTGCATTTGGGTAGTTTATTTCACCTGTGATCTTGAATTGATTGCAGCCAAGTGTTTTGGACATGTGTATGTTGAAGGACAGGCGAGGTGGACAAATATATGCCCACCCTCAAAATGGAAGTCTAAGCGCCCGCGTCACTAACTGCTAGACGCGAGAAACACCAACTTACGATCACAGATGCAGGCTAAAATCCAGCATCTTACGCGTTCAACGTTCAGTAGTTACTATCAGACTTAAGTACTCGTAGTCAGTCTCATCGGCACCTTGCAGATCGATCAGTGCTAGCTGCAGTACAACTTGCGGCAGAGCATTCGAACCGACGCCTACTTTCATCCCGATGCTGATCGGACGATGACAAGAGGTGCGCCTTGTGGTTTTCAGTCTTCTTCGATGCATGCTGGTGCATGCTCCGCAGCAAGCGGATAGTCTTGGAACCTGCTTTCTTGTGAGGAAGAAGGTTGAATCGAATCATAATGGACCCTCGGTACGGACGCTGCATTCCCGCAGGCCCGGTAAGCGATGAATATGCTCATCGCTTACGGATGAACGATTGTTGCTTTCTCTTTCTGTGCCCAATATAACCGATCAATTATGTAGGTCGTTGTCGAAGCACTACTTACCATGTTTGCGATCAAGTGACGGGATGAATGGAAGATGTGGGTCAACGCCGAGGCTTCCGTCATAACCGCCTCGTGAATTGTAGAGGATTGCAGATGTGCCCGGACACACTCTGGGATAATTCCTCGTGCATATGGGGCACGTCCGATAAGGACAATAATCGTGAACCTCGACCATAACTGCGCATAAACCCGCACTCAGGCTGTGTGAAGAGTGTCAGCGATCCGAGTACATACTACAGGGTTTCGTGCATACCATTCCGATCCGGGAGAGGATCCGCCCGTCCGCTTTGGATTCTAATTTCTCTGCCGACACTCGTGGAGTGGCGTGCCATCAGAATGCCAGAGGCGACGCCGACAAGTACTTACACAAGACATGCGAACCACATCATCGTTGCCGAAGTCATCATGGTACCCGCCAGTCCATCCAAAGCGTTCTTAGGGGTGTTTCAACCGCCTCGCTCGACCATGATGACACTCGGATGACACCTTACCTGGTAAGTAGACGTATACAAAGCTACCGATGGCGCGGATGAGTTGTCGACCCTTTGAACCCGAGATATGGTATCGTTGAGTGAACATATCTCGGACTGCTTAAGTACCTCTGGTGCATCATCAATACCTCCACCTCTTCCACCTACTTGAAGCCACTTTACGCTGAAATATCGAGAGACGAGGGTGACAACCGGAGGGTCCAGAGCCTCGACCGATGGTCAACCCGTCACTGTGTGTCTTGTGCCGCCGGTAATCAAGCAAAATCCCACTAGTGAGATTGCAGCCCAGATACGCCGCGCACCCACATCAATTGACAGCCCTTCTGCATTCTGGAACAACAGTCCGCTGCGAGCCGAGCTCTCTCCCAACGTTCGGTTCGAGCATACGCGTGCGCCTCATGCCTCATGCTTCAAATTCGCGACGGTGGAATGTTCCAATCAGCAGCAGAGTTGTCAGCGACTTGTCAGCAGCAGATACCTGGCTGATAACTCCTTACGCTGGCCCGGGCGACGAGAAGCGGCCTCCGAGAGGTATTGTCCGAAACCGGAAGAAGGCCTCGGGCTCTGTCCCGAGGCGTGAGGGGGTGTCGGTCGGTCCGCGTATGCGAGATGCTGACAGGATGAGTATTGGTGGCACCTTAGTGATATTACGGATACGTTGTGTAATGTAATGTATAACAAGACATGCAGATCCACGGCTCTCGGTGGGGGAAACGGTGGTGAGAGCGCGTACTGTACAGTATAAAGTGGCAAAATCACCTCCAAGGTCCCACGCAGGCCAGCAAAAAGAAGCACGGTGTATAGCCTCGCGCGGCCACGATGCACTAGGCATAATCTCGGGGCTGAAGGAAGCACATCTATCCCCGTACCCGGAATACGGCACACGGCATGACAGGCCTGTTGCCGATCAAACTTAGACGGCGTCTTCGCTCGCAGGGCCCTGCGAGGTGGTGGTGCGCCCATGGGGATGGGTAGCGTGCTCCTCGGGGGGCACAACGTCAAAGCCGCTGCGTCCCAGCTCGGAGGGGAGGGCGGCCGTATCGTCGAGGGCCTCCTCGGCCAGAAGCGTCTGCGTCTCGGCCTCCTCTTCCGTGGGCACAGCGGCGGCCCGCTCAGACGCGGGACGCAAGAAGCGCGGAGGGGCGACGAGGTGGTTAAAAAGGAACTGTGAGATGATGTCAGCATGCGCGAGATCCGAGAATTCTTCCATGCGATAGCGTGCGTACCGTGCCGTATCTGAGAGACGGCACCCAGTAAAATCAGTATGATGCGCGCAGGGTCGGGGAGAGCATGTGTAACACACTCACACGAGGAGCGCGAATCCGGCAACCTGGAGGAGGGAAATTGGCCACATAAGCACCTCCCAACCTAGGCCTAAGCTCACGATCCAGATGGTGAGAGTTCTGCACGTGTCAGTGAGGCTGCGAGCGGTGGCGCTCAGGTGGCGCGTCACGCTGAGACCGAAGAAGTTGAACAGGGAAATCGAAACCGCGATGACAAGACCGGAGTAGAGTACCGAGGGCGTGTCAATCATCTGGTGCCAACCGCGCGGAAGATCAAAGAAGGGTGAGACAGACGCGTAGCGCGCAAGGAGAGGCATCGCGAGGACGATGCTGAGCGCGCCGAAAAGACCTTCGAACCCAACAGCCACCAGCGGTGCTACAGAGTAGCGACCCATGATCTTCTCTATATGTCCCAGTGTGAGTGTAATAACGATGAACAGGGTCGCACATCATGAGAGTTGGATAGGAGACCGACCTTCAATGACGAACTGGGCGGCCGTGCTGTGCGCGCATCGGCGATGCGGACGTACCACGGGAGCAGAAGATGTCAGCAGACGAGTCAGAATGCATGAAGGGTCGCAGGGAAGAGCCTATATGAAAGTATGGAAGGGATACGCACAAGACTTGGGCAAAGAGAATGAAAAACACGCCTGCGGAACAAGGTCAGGTGATGGAGAAGCAGACTGCGCACAATGGAGGTTCGACTAACCGACGAGGACTTTGGTGACTTCAGGCTCTTCGATGGGTTCAGGGGGCGGAATCTCATCGAAAGTGCCCACGCTAGACTCCTTGACGGCGTCCTTGACCATAGAGCCGCTGAGGCCGACGAGAGAGACACCTGCCATGACGGTAATAAGGGATACCCATCTTTGGAACAAGAGTAAGCATCTTCTTTCGGGGCAGAATACGGCGGGCAGACGGCCGAGCTACACGCAGGACAATGGGTGGGAAGCGGATGAGGAAACTCAACTGGTAAAGCCAAAGACGCCTGCGGAGGAAGATGACGGAGAGGATGCCGACGAAGAGGACGAGGGCGCCTCGGGTCATCTGGTAAATTGAGACCGGGGTGTAGAGCAAACCGACATTCATCAACTGTATAGCCACATTGTGACGAGAGGGGGCAAACGCGCGGGAGATGAATGGGAGTGGATGTCATGAGAAGACGAAAACGGCCAAGGCCAGACGGAGGCGCACCGTAGTACCGGTGAGATCGCAAGCGGCCGGGAACCAGAGGAGGAGTAGCTTCCAGCCATGTAGGCGTGCTTGGGGGATCTCGGGCTTTGAGCCAGCGGCAGGCTCCTCTTCGGAGTCGGAGGGAAGGCGCAGTGGCTGAGTCTGATGCCTGGCGCGGGCCAAAGAGTAGATGACGGGAAGGAAGCCTGACGACAGACACGTGCAATGCGCGACGGTGAGCGCGGCGCATGCGCGCAGGCGGGCGAATGGACGTACAGAGCATCTCTCCGACTAGCGCGGACGGTTACGGCGGTCAGGGTGCATGCATGCAGGACACAGGAGGAGGGACGCACGGAACATCTGCAGGGTTTGCCAGACGGGTTGCTCGTAGAGGACACGGTGTGCGGGGTTCTTGTCATCGCAGTTCTCGACGCATTGCATGTCCTGCAGGGCGACATGTGAGGAGGGCCATCTGGTCGCTGCGGGGACGATACGACACGCACCTGCCACTTGCTCCAGAGCGAGTTGCTGGAGCCCTGGGGGAAATCAGCGTCAGCGGGTGGACACGAGGAGAAGGACGCGACGGACGGTGATGAGCATGCCGGCGATGAGGATGGGGACGTAGAGCGAGGACGGCATGGCGGGCGACGGGCGGTGGCGGACGGACGATGAGCGCAGGGTGAGCGTGGCTGTCAGCGCACAGCGGACGCAGCGACGGCGGGCGAGCGCGTGGCAGGGGCGTCTATGTGCGGATGCGGAAGGCGGCCCAAACGGGCAGTGATCGAGGAAATAATTAAATAATGGGGAAACGAGGAAGGAGATGGGGAATTCTATTCACTGGCTTCGCTGGATGTTGGTAGGATCACCCAATGTTCGCCTACTTATATCGTCTCCGGGGCCTTCGTCCCCCCCTCCCCCCTCCCCATGGTCCACCTCGTCCTCTCCACCACACGGGGCAACTCCGGGAACCGCTTCTTCCCCCACCAGGGCTACCTCGGCCTCACCCCCGTCCGCGTCGAAGGCGGTACGTTCCCCTCCCCCTCCTCCCCCGCTGTGTCTGACCTCCGACAGTCGTACGCACAAAACTTGACGAGGATCGCAGGCCCATTCCCGCAAAGTCCCTCTCCGTCTCCATCCGCTGCTACCAGTCGCGTCTCACGCGCTCCCGCTCCTTTCGCTCCACCCTCGTCGTAGACCACACCGATGTCCTCTGGGTCAAGCCGCCGGACAGAGAGTACTCGGACGTCGGAGAGCTCGAGTTCCCCTTCAAGATCACCCTCCCAAAACGCACACCCGGCTTTAGCACTGCAAATTACCAGGATTACCGTGTCTTCTGGCGTTTGGAAGCGAGTAAGTCATCACATTCTCTCCCCCGCTTGTCGCCCCCCATCTGCCATCTGCCACCATCACTCTATTC